ATTCCTGCTTTCACAGTGGTAATAGCGGGTTTGATTTAGTATGCTCCTAGGCAACACACAGTTTAAACAGCAATTAGTACTTCTACAATCCAGTGGTATTAATCCAGACTCATAAAGAACAGGAACAATGAATGTTTAGTAAAATGTAACATCACAACATCCTCCAATATAATTCAGAGCAGAAGTGAAAACTTCATTCCATAAACGACTTCCAAATATTCCTACTCTATGAAGGTGTACGTTCATTTTGCTAGCTTTTCCAACCAGGAGAAAACTAATGTATTTGTGGCATGCATCCACATAGCACACACCCAGAGGCACATATATGCAGCATGCACGTATATATTAGTATAAAAGTCATAAAATGGATAAAGAACAATTATTTTTTTAAAATGTATGAATTACTCTTCTGGTCACAAAGTATGACACACCTGGCACACCTAAGCCAGTAGAACATATGTCATGTTAGTTATGTTAGAAGTGTGAGGTAATCATATAATAAGTACTGTCTTAATCCTGCTATGTTTATGCACAAAGAAAGTAAAGCATCTCTTTCTCTCTCTTTTTCAGGTGTACGGACTGAGGTAGACTTCCTAAGACTACCTAGCTATCACAGCAGAGAGTTTTTGTTCAGAAAGTAAAGAAACAAAGAATTTTGAAAGGAAACAATATTAGCGCGTGTGTTTCTTCAACGTGCTCTTCCCTATAAAATGGGTCTCAAAATGCTGAATTTATCATCAGTAGATTCCTGTTTCAAATAATTTCGGCTAAGGAAAAGGCACATATTCTTGTCTACACCTGGTCTTGCAAATTCAGTTTAGGCTTATGTTCAGGATGGAAATTTTCCTCTTCCTACATTTGTTAAGTAATAAAAAAAGTCAAATTACAGGACTGCATATGGTTATATAGTCACTCATCATATGCATGTCACTGAAGTCACTAACAAATTTATGTCCACAAGAAAATTAGAACACCTGGTTTTATTATGCGATTCATGAAGCGGAACAAAATAGCGCCCATTTACTTCAGATGTGTGGGATTTTTTCAGCATTAACTGCTGAAGTTTTCACTTTTTACTTTCCAGTATCTTCAACTAATATAAACAGTAATAAGTAGCAGATTTTTGAGCACATATTTGCAGCAAATTTCATTCTGACTTCTCCCAGGCCACTCAAACTGTATTGAAAAAGACATAATTCACATTTTATTTTTGGAGAAAATCAAGAAAGAGCTCACCATCTTCAGGAATGGAGTTGATGTGTCATAATTATAAGCACCTTTATCCTTTAGGATAAGAATATGAGCAGAGTCAATTATCACCTTCTTCAAGTTCATTATTGAATGGAAAAGTCTGTTAAAAATTTTAAAGTCTTAGTTAGTTTTTAGTCATTTATATTCAATGTGATAACATAAAAATTTAAAAATATTAAAGAAGTACGAGTTACAGAAAAATAAATGTAAATTCTAATATCAATCTAGCATGAAATTAAAACTTTTTAAAATTGCTAATCTTGGGAAAGTTTGTGTTTTACATGTTTGATATCCAGTACCTAATGTGGAGAGAAGCCTGAAATGCTGGTCATAAAGTCAAGATTGCCTTTAAGCAGGATTAGAAAAACAATCAGAAACACAAAAATTTAAATTACCACCATTATTTCCATTGCTTCAATTGACACAAGGCTTACAAATTCTTAAATACAGAGAACTCTGTAATTTCATTTGTAAAAAGAAAAAAGCCTTTTATTTTACTCTCATAACCAAGTGCATTGCACGTGATCATACCTTGATTATACCTATATGCTTTAGTACATAAAAAATTAACAGATTTATGGAATTTAAAAATACTTGTCACGAAGGCAGTAGTTTAAACCAAGAAAGAGTATTTTAGAGGCATTTAAAACAATAACTTGTTTAATCGACATGCTCTATTATCAACTACCTACCATCACCTACTTCAATCAAATTTACTAGTGCTCAACATTCCAACACATAACAACTTCCTGACCAAATGCATAATTAAACCATATATTTACATACACAGACATACCCTCTCCTTCAAAAAAATTCCACAAAGTAGCTAGCAGAAAAAGCAAGTACGCAGCAGATGTAACAGCAATAAACAACAGTCAAATTAAGCAGAAGATTGGTAACATGAAAAACTTTTCCCACATTGAACAAAGATAGGTTACAGAAGGTGTGGGGTTTTCCAAGGAGTATATGCTTAAATTAGCACCTGTTGATCATTGCTTAGCACAAGCAGATATAAAATATTCTCCTATACAACACTTAGTGTGAAAAAATAATAGCCCTGTTATTAAACTCTTGGTATCATGGCCACCTAGCTTCTTTTGAAACCTCAGAAATCTTATTTGGACATCAAATTCTCACTTCAGAGGATTTAAAAAAAATATTTCTTGAACAAAGATCATGGGTAAACAAACTCACTTCTCTTGTAAAGCACTGCTACACTTTCAGTACCGAGCATGTTGCTAGCTATAGCAAATCTGTAACTCTAAAATAAATACTTCTGTTTTAGAAAAGCAAAGGGAAATTAAGATTTATTTATTTATAATAAATTACCTAGTGCCATAATCCACAACTACCCAATCTTTAGCTGTTCCTGTAATAGCATCATGATGCTGAAAGAGTCCAAGGTTCCTCCTAGCTTCTGTCAGCAATTTATAGCTATCCATTGAAGGAAATACACTCATCTTCTCAGATTTATGGGACTGCACCAAAGCCAAGGAGTAGAGGATTTCAGCTGCCCTGGAATTGCACAGAAGAATCAAATATTTATACAAGTTTAAAAAGTAAAAAGCAACACACATTTTACATGAAAAATAAACTGATATTTTTTACATCTTTCCTCATGTCTAGTTCCACGAGTTCTTTAAACTGTACTTTTTATCTGTTTCTAGCTTCAAACAGTTAAAAATCACTGCTGCACTTCATCATTGTCCTGGTTTGGCTAAAACAGGACCATTCCTCCTTTCAGCAGATTTTTTTTTTCCTTCAGTTAACTTTTCTTAGTAACTGCCCTGTCTGAAGGTAATTACAGGTCTCAGGCAGTGCCTGCTTTCAGAGTTGATGGCGGTTCATGTCTGTAGGTGTTGCTGGGGCAGGAGCGGGATTGTTCTGCAGAAAGGTCCACGGGTGGGTGCTGGTTCCCTGCGGGCTCTCTTGGGCTCTGCTGGGCTCCTGGTGGGGGGAAGGCGGAGGAGGGGTCGCACCCCCAGAAGCTGCAGAGGGCACAGGTGACCCAGGCCTGACCAAGGCAGTATTCCATCCCACCCACGGGAATACTCGGTATAAAGCTCAGGGATCACGTCCCGGTGGGACTCTGCTCGCTCCCCTCCCTCCAACCCTGACCGTGCACCCCTCAGTCCGGTTTCCCGCCTGCTGTGGAGCCGAGTTCTGTGAGGTCCGGGTGCCCGCCCTGTCCTGTGAGCACCATGAGCTGCCGCGGGCGGTACGTGGTCCCGCGGTCATCGTCGGGAAGGGCAATATTGGTTTTGTATAGTTCTGTTTCTATTAGTAGTAGTATTAGTTTTAATATTATTTATACTATTTTCCATTGTTATTGCTTTATTAAAGTTGTTCTAACTTTCCAACCCGCCAGTCTCTCTCCCTTTTCTCCTCTCCTTCCCCCTCTGGGAAAGGACGGGGTTAACAGAGAGCATGACCCACCACCAGCACAGGCCCAGCCTTAAATGGTGACAATCATCAACTAGTTTTACACCTTGTAAGCTTCCTGCAAGGTTTCACTGATGGAAAACAGACCTTTAAAATAAAAACATGACAGTACAAAGTAAGATACCATTTTCACAAATGTGTGAAGTATACAGATCTGATTTGAAAATCAGTAAGGATAGACTGCCTTACAAGAGACATACAATTCCCGTTTCAAAAAGCAACTTATTAAACAAATAAAATTATCTTAAAGAAATATATTAACCTATACACTCCATATAGTATCTATTCTGATATTTGTACTTTAAGCAAACGAAGTTCTCCTAAAGACTTAGACAGTTCATGTTCCTGCTCACTATACATTCAGCTGAATGGTAAGAACACCAGATTCAAAATCCCTTAGACTGAACAGAATGCAGAGCCCTTCTGTTCTACTTCTTATGGAAAAGCCTAGCACTAAAATATTACCATTTCATTCTCACTTGTTTTATGAGAATCTAAATTTATTTTACAAAAAAGAAATCCTACAATTGCCAGTCATTCTAAACATCTGACTAACAAAGATGCCTGTATAAATTCTGGGAAACCACCTGTTCACTTTTTTCCTACCTCCTTTTCCTAAAATCTTACAGTTCTGTTTTGGTAAGTCTGAAAAGTGTCAGACTCCTTTTCAAACTTTATATGAGCTTAATGAAGGTTTCTTAAGTGTTCGAAGAAACAAAGAAGATACAGGTTAATGTTATAAAAAGCAAAGAAAGCAAAAAACCCTACGCTCTTGAAACAAATATAAAACTAACTTCTAAGCATGTAAACAAATTTTGATTTAAAAAAAGAAAATACATTAACTTTTACATTTACTTAAGCTGTCAGTGAGTGCATGTGTTCAAATTTAAACTAGGTACAACAACAAATTTTTAAATCATGCTCAACTCGGGTTTTCGGAATGTGTATACATTTTAAATGTTTGCATGAAAAATACCTTTGGATTCAGTTTGGTCTTTTTGTCTTGCTGCACCACATAGGTGAGAATGATGTAAAAACTGCAAGTAGCATGTGTCAGACTAAACTGAAAGGTACACTGTACATATAACAGCTCAATTCATTTTCATATTGTCAATATTTGAGGAACAGGATGAGATTTTATTCTTACAGGTAAGATAACTGCTCTGAAGTTGCAAACAAAATCAAAAGTTCTAATTCCTTTTTTTTATTACTAGTGCACTTAAGCTTAATGGCTGTGATTTTAATGTTGCTTATCGCAATTCCTACATCTATGCATTCCTCCTAATTTGTTCTATTACCGCTTAACTTGAAAGGTAAAACAAATATATTGTAGTTAAAAAGGCACCAGATACACATTCATCTAGTAGATAAACCTTATCTGAAAGTGTTTTATCTTTTTTTAAAATTTGGCTTAGCCAGTAAACACTGACCCAACTGTAGCTATGAAGTAGAGAACACAAAATTTTAGTCCTCAAAATACAGGTTAGATTTCCTCCCAGTAATCCACCTTATTTTTTTTAAAATAGGGAATCTGTTATTTACAGACAAGGTAACAACCTTGAAAGCAAAAGAAATAACATTAAAATGAAGCTGTTTAGTAAACACATTTTCAGTTCATAGTGATTCCAGTACTTAACTTTAAATCTATTTTACCTATAAGTAACATTTGGAACTCTTTTGCCTTTACAGAAAAAAAACAGATTCTGTTTCACAGATCCATTCAATACATCAGTCTCTTGGATGCAGAATTTTCCTCAATATCATTCTAAACATTAGAATGGTTCAATGGGCAAAGATGAAAGACACTCAGAATTGAAACCAAAAGAAACATTATGTGAAGAGAACACTTCAACTTACAAGTACACATTTACCTGTCTCTAATAACTTTCCATAAAAGCTGTATGAAGCCTTGGTTTTCTCACCTCTATTTCAAACTACTGCAGAGTACCTAAAGTAGTTACGACAGATTTTCCACTGTGTTGTAATCTATCACTGTATCTCTGCTTGATGGGACACTGCAAATAGATCAAAATTTGCTTGACCGATTGCTCAAAGCCTACACTAGGTTACCTTTAGGTCCACTTTGTAACGTAAATAAATAATGTAACGTAAATAAATGATTTTTTTTTTTCCAAAGAGTTTCTGAACTCTCAAGATGTGGTCTTTTCTATCCATCTGTACAGTTAGAAGTATCACTACAGCTCTTGTCCTGCTTCTGAATTATTTCAACAACCTTTTCTGCAGACTTACCATAATTTTTCCTGGATTATATCTGTAAGGAATGAAATCACAGAATGCATTCCTAACTAGTCCCCAACTATAATATTGCTCTTTGTGTCTTTCCATTATTACATTAAACAAACTTCTGCTCACCGATTTCATCACCCTTCAAACAACTTCAATCCATCTATCGCTCACTTAAGATTTAAAAAAATCAATTATGTCTCAAATCAGCAGTGATGTCAATGTGCATTAGAAAATCCTAAACTGTCATGCACTTTCTTTAATGCACAACTCCCAAACTTTTTATAAAAACAGAAAAAATCCAAACAAACAACCCTTTTCTTGCTTAAATGGCCAGCGATTGTAGTAGGTCCTGAGGTTGAACACTGTTTCCTGGCTATTAAGTAGCAGTGGAGTACTTCTTAATCCTGGTACTGCTGGAACTTAAAAGCATTCATCCTTCGTAAAGAATACATGCACATACATGTGTATCTTGTGTTCATGGTTCACTCCTTCACATATATACACATACACATTGTCCTGGTTTGGCTGAAACAGGACTATTTCTCCTTTCATTTTTTCTTGCAGTTACTTAGAAGAAACTTAACTGAACTTTCTGAAAGTACAGCTACATGTTTTTGAGACACTGTCTGCTTTTCAGACTTGGTAACACTTGATATTTATAGCTGCTACTGAAGCATCGGTAGGATTGGTAAGCAGAAAGGCCCATGTTTATACTTATCCCCATGAGAACCAAGGCCACTGCTGGCCCTCTCTTGTTAAGAAAGTAAAAAGCCATAAAAGGGTCGCACCTGCAGAAGAGTGTGGACGGGACAGGTGACCAAAAACTGATCGACAAGGTATTCCATCCCATCCACATCATCCTCAGTATAAAGCTAAGGCATTCACGAGGGTCAGTCTCTCTTCTTTCATGGCCGCCATCCCTGTGGGACCCTGCTCGCTCTCCTACCCCCGACCCAGACCCGTGCATTCCTGAATCCGGTTCCTGTCGGCTGTGCAGTCGGGCTGCAGATTCCTGGCCGTCATTGGGAAACTCAGTATCCGTTTTGTATACTTTTCCTTTTATTTCCATTATTAGTATTAATATCTTTATACTACTTTCCATTATTATTGTTTTATTAAAGTAGTTTTAATTTCCAATCTGTAAGTCTCTCTCCCTTTTCTCTGTCCCTTCCCCTCCTGGGGGGGAGGGAAGAGCTAATAGAAAGCATCTAGCACCCATTTTAAGAGCCAGCCCAGCCTTAAATGGTGACAACATACATATGCACACTAGATACACACAAGTTAGCTCAAAAAGAACTATGGAAAATTTAATAACAAGGTTGGGGGGAGGGTGTTATTAACTCTGCCTCCATCTTCAATATCAAGACCAGCTGTCCTCAGGACACCCAGCCCCTTCAGCTGGAAGAGAGCGACAGGGAGCAGAATGAAGCCCCCATAATACAAGGGGAAATGGTTAGTGACATGCTACACCACTTGGATACAAACAAGTCTATGAGGCTGGATGGGATCCACCCAAGGGTACTGAAGGAGCTGGCAGGAGTGCTCACCAAGCCACTTTACATGATTTATCAGCAGTCCTCGCTAACTGAGGAGGTGCCAGGTGACACGTTAGCAAACGTGATGCCCAACTATAAGAAGGGCCAGAAGGAGGAGCCGGGGAACTACAGGTCTGTCAGCCTGACCTTGGTGCCAGGGAAGGTTATGGAGCAGATCATCCTGAGTGCCATCACACAGCACATACAGGACAGCCAGATGATCAGGCCCAGCCAGTATGGCTTTATGAAAGGTAGGTCCTGCTTGACTGACCTGATCTTCTATGAACAAGATTATCTGCTTAGTGGATGAGGGAAAGACTGTGGATGTTGTCTACCTAGACTTTACTAAAGCCTTTGACACCGTTTCCCACAGCATTCTCCCTAAGAAATTGGCTGCTCATGGCTTGGACAGGCGTACTCTTCGCTGGATGAAAAACTGGCTGGATGGTCAGGCCCAAAGAGTGGTAGTGAACGGAGTAAATCCAGTTGGTGGCTGGTCACAAGCAGTGTTCCCCAGGGTTCAGTATCGAGGCTAATTCTGGTTCGTATCTTTATCAATGATCTGGATGAGGGGATTGAGTGCACCCTCGGTAAGTTGGCTGATGACATCAGGTTGGGTGGGAGTGTTGATCTGCTTGAGGGTAGGAAGGCTCTATAGAGGGATCTGCACAGGCTGGATTGATGGGCTGAGGCCAACTGTGTAATATTCAACAAGGCCAAGTGCTGGGTCTTGCACTTGGGAAAGCTGCCCAGCTGAAAAGGACCTGGGAGTGTTGGTTGACAGCTGGCTGAACATGAGCCAGCTGTGTGCCCAGGTGGCCAAGAAGGCCAATGACATCCTGGCTTGTATCAGAAATAGTGTGGCCAGCAGGACTAGGGAAGTGATCATCCCCCTGTAACATGGCACTGGTGAGGCCACACGTCAAATACTGTGTTCAGTTTTGAGCCCTGCACTACACGAAAGACACTGAGATGCTGGAGTGTGTCCAAAGAAGGGCAACAAAGCTGGTGAAGGGTCTAGAGCACAAGTCTGATGGGGAGCAGCTGAGGGAACTGGGGTTGTTTAGCCTGGAGAAAAGGAGGCTGAGGGGAGATCTGATCGCTCTTTACAACTGAAAGGAGGTTGTAGTGAGGTGGGGGTCAGTCTCTTCTCCCAAGTAACCAGCGATAGGACAAGAGGAAATGGCCTCAAGTTGCGTCATGGGAAGTTTAGATAGAATATAAGGAAGAATTTCTCCACCAAAAGGGTTGTCAGGCATTGGAACAGGCTGCCCAGTGAAGGGGTAGAGTCATTATCCCTGTAGGCATTTAAAAGGCACGTGGATGTGGCACTTACGGACATGGTTTAATGGTGGACTTGGCAGTGCTAGGTTAACAGATGGACTTGATGATTTTAAGGGTCTTCTCCAACACAAATGATTCTATGATTCTAAATGACCATAATGTATTTCCTCTGACTTTAAAAAAAAAAAAAAAAGACAAACTCCCTGTTTCTGATGTTTTCACAGCTAATATGCTACCCTTGAATATTCTCCAGGTCTCTTAAAGCAAAACTGTCAAAAAACTTGCAATTAAACTGACAAGAACACATATATACATTTTGCTCTTACATGTTATTCACAAAGGATAATGAAGGATTAAAAACTTCCTGAGTATATTCTTAGAAATATGCTTTGGTTTAATTCGTAAGACTGAAGATTTAGTTTTCTTCCAGAGATTCTTTACCTGTAAGTCTGGCACCTTTTTCAGAAGTTAAAAATAACTGAAATTCTTACAGGAAGGAATCTTTTAACAGTATAAAGTTGTAAACACTACAAATAAACTGGAAAGAATCCATATGAAGTTTTCTGCAACTTAAGGAACAAAAAACAGAAAAATGACAAAGTAAACACTTAAAAATTTTGAAAAAATAGGCTGTGATGAAGCTAAAAGAAAATTAAATCCTTGCATTTTAACAAATGGAAAGGAATTTAGGCAAAAGTATGAAAAAAATTAAGAAGGGAATTCAATTTATAAGGACATCATCTGTCCTGTTTTCTTTACCTCTTACCTTTTCCATTAGTAGTATTAAACAAGGCTGTTTTCACCAAAAATCAAAGATTCTCAGGATAAACAGCTAATGAGAACAGAGTTAATTAGTATTTATGTCAATACAGTAAGGAAAAATAAATTGCTTCTGAAAAAATCATATTCCTAGTGATGCTTGATACTCTATTTGTATTTCTGAACAGTTGTCAAACTTCCGAATTACTGTTAGCCTTTCAAATGCCCTCTTTCTAATCTTCTAACATATTTGGGTTTGTACATGTTAAGGATAACACTTGTAACATTCCAAAGTTCTGATTAAAACACTACTGAAGTCAATCCTCTGATAACTTCTCCTTGTTATATTATTTTTACATTCTTCTGCTTAAGGGATCCTAGCATTGCTTTTTGTTATTCCTCTCAGCTTTAGTCTTATTTTTCTTCTTTCCTGACAGTCTTTGGCTTCTTTCCTCTCTGCTTTCCCATTTGTGAAACTTTTCTCCTTGCTGGTCAATGCAATGCCTTCAAAATTATGTTACGCTGTCTCTTCCCTAAGACATTTCTATTCTCAGGCCCTTGATCTCACTTCTCCTTACACATTTCTTAGTCTTTCTATTGTCTTCATTTCTTCTTCACTAATTTTCTTGATTTCCTCAGGTCTCTTACTCTGTGTTCTGAGAGTTCAGACAGAAGCCTAGAAAAAGTGACTTTCATTACAAGAAAAACATACTATAGATCATAGAGTAGCTGTGTCCCAGGTTTGCGAAGCCTCCACTTTACCATAGCAAACACTTGATTCCTTGGAAGAAGGAAAATAGAAGGAAAACAAATTCTTTCAGAGGTTTCACTTCTGAAAGGTACTTGTATCTGCCTGCAAAATGCTACTTTCCGTGCTCGCAAAACGCTACTTTCCACATCTCTCTTGCTCCCTCCACTACTGCAGCAGCCATTATAACACACAAAAAAAAACCCAAATCAAAACCTGTAAGAAGTCCTTACAGAAAGATTTACCAGCGTTACAGAAATTCTTTTCTAGCACAAAAAGGCCTGAACAGCACATAGAAGCACTACAATAGATGAATTTTAAAGGGTCCTTCCAGAAGACAAAAAGTGTTCTTTGACTAAGGATCCTTGGAAGAATAATCTTTTGGAAACAGTTTCCAAGTTTTGGCAATAGATGAAATGTCCAGGGTTTACATAATATGCATCTGTCCCAGATCTCTTTCTTCTTAAGCGCCTTAAAACACAGCTAAACTGTTTTACAATGTATATTATCTACAGCTGCTATAAGGGAGAACCACCTAAATACTCCATTACCAAAATCCAGTAGCATTTTTTTCTTTAAAGAAGATGCAAACACTTCTCAGAAGAGTATTACCTTACAATCTGAGATCTCTTGACACAAAATGTTCCTGACTACTTCTCAACTGCCTCTAACAACCCTTGTAAAATTCACACCTTTGTATTTCTCTCTAAAAGAGTTCACAGTACTGTCATAATGATAAGATTGATCTGACAGCCACACAAATCCAATACAGAAATAAAAAGCACACTATCCGCATTTTTGCATGGAACCAGGACTTACTGATCTCTTGAATAGTACTTCAGAACAACTTACTTGTTTGGATGGAAAAAAAAATAATTTTATTTCTGTGAATTTACTAGAAAAAACCAAAAACAGATACACCAACAAATCCTTGTCACAAAAACTACATTTGGAGCCCATTTAGGCCATCCTTATTGAAAGTAAACTTAAACTGTGCATTTCAAAATCACTTCTCCATCTGTCCAACAGATTTAGAATACTTATACATTCATCTCCCCCATGTGCCAAGACATATGTTATGATTTTACTGGATGGTAGTATTTACCGTAAGTAGGATTCCAGGACTCTATCCAGTCGTTTATAGAAGGGTCGTGATGTAAAATATCCACTCCAGTAATGATGATCTCTGTCTGCATAGGTGAAGAAGTCTCCACTTAAAACAGGGAAAAATGAATTGCTGCTCTTTTCACCCAAATTGCTTTCTCTGCGCAGAGCTTCAAAGTAATCTGACAGAGTTCCAAACTGGGCCTGAATGAAAATTAAAGTTACTATAACATAGTTCCATTTTCTTTATTTAGACATATGAAGAAAATGAATACGCTTGGTTTCATAAGTTTCAGAAATATGCCAACCTTCCAGCAGAATTATAGCAGAAATCCTATCTTAAAGAGGTTTAAAGTTCCCTATTAACACTTTTCAGACAAGCTGAATAGCTCTTCCAAAAGCATTTCAACTTTCAACTCAGTACAAGGAGGACATGGACCTGCTGGAGAAGCTCCAGAGGAGGCCCACAAAAACGATCAGGCGGATGGAACACCTCTCCTATGAGGACAGGCTGAGAGAGTTTGGGTTGTTCAGACTAGAGAAGAGAAGGCTCTGGGGAGACCTTATTGTGATTTAAAGGGGGCTTTTAAGAAAGATGGCGACAGGCTTTTTAGTAGGGCCTGTAGCGATAGGACAAGGGCTATGGTTTTAAACTAAAAGAGGGTAGATTCAGACTAGATATAAGAAAGAAATTTTTTTAAGACAAGGGTGTAACATGAAACACAGGAACCTGTTGCCTGTAGAGGTTGTAGATGCCCCATCCCTAGAAACATTCAAGGTCAGGTTGGATGGGGCTCTGAGCAACTTGATCTAGTTGAAGATGTCCCTGCTCATTGCAGAAGGGTTGGACTACATAACTTTAAGGGTCCCTTGCAACCCAAACCATTCTGTGAGTCATGAAATATGAAACACTTTGAAGTATAAGTTGGTGTCTAAAATACAAGCTAAATCTCAACAAATAAGCAAAGCATTCTTTCATGTCTTATGAATAAATCTCTAATACATAAGCAATCTCCAACATATGCTTAACCAAGATGACTGTTGATCAAAAAATTAGCATTTGCTTTCAGAAGCCATTTTTTAAAAACTATGTACAAAGCAATTTTGTTTAGAAATGTAACACAGAGGAGTACAAAAAATTCATTATTTTCTGGTCATTTTTAGAAATGCTTAGACAAATAAGGCAGTAACACCCCTTTACAGGGTAGGTCAAAAGACAGCACCCTCAAGCTTGAGGGGTACAAGAAAAGGGGGAAAACAAAAAAGTAAGGAGTAATGTCAATGTTGCCAGCACTGAGAGATGTTGTTAAAGAAGGCATAGACAGCAAACTGGATTTTGAATGAGAGTGGAAAAACAATTAATACAAGTGGGAACAGCACAGAAAATCACATTACTACAAGTATTCTCATAATAAAACTATAATGATAATTCTTTAAATTTAAATTAAGTCACTTTTTTGGCGTTGTGGATTTTTTTTTATTTAACAAGCATACAAAGTAATATGCTACAATTTACACACCAGAAAACAAGCTTTCAGTAGAAACCTTTTTAAAGTTACTTGGAACGTAAGGACTACTACTGTGACAACAAAGATACCCTATTTCAACATTTGGAAAAAAAACAAAACAAAACACAACAAACCAAACATTATTCACTCTTCAAAATCATTCAGAAGATCCAAATATCTGTTAGGTGGACACAGTATGCTAACTTGCCACTTTGAATAGCAGTAAAGCAGATGGAGACATACTGCCACAGAAATCCCAATATTAGTGATCCTTGCCTTATCGGGCACTTCTAGGACACCTGGCCTTTTCCCTTACTATCATAGACACCTACAAGACAGAATTCAGAAGAAAAAAAACATATCAAAGGACCACGAGAAATTAGGTATATAAGTGGCCTCCCTTCTGTATGCTGGGTTACAGAGGAAGAAAACCTCACCCGAAGAATCAGCAAAGTTGCAGAAAACTCATTCTACTGCCAGATGAGTGGAAACAGTGAAATAACCTGGCAGACTCTTCTATTGGGATATAAAAAGTCTCAGCCTAACTTATGCATAAAAGATGCAAAGGAGATCTCCAAATGGAAGATTGAATTCCCAAAATAGGTATCTTTTACAGTAATCTATCACATACTTTTAGGACCACAGAACAGTTGCTGGCATGAGAATCTCAATGCTAATAGTCGTATTCACTAGATAAACATCTCAAATTTGTCTGAAAGGGTAAATGTCTCATAAGATCAGAAAGGTAGGGTAGGCAGTCCCTTTTGTAAGTAGTAATAATGTAGGCACCTGAGCACTTAAGGAAGAAATGTGAATTCTTCCTTTATATAATCTAGGTTCTTAGGAAACGTGACCTGTTACTTGCCTGTGGAGTTACAGTCCACTGGGAAACGTCTAGTGAAAGGTTTCCACCTAAGCTCATATTTCCAAGTATAAGTGACATCAGTTTAAAAAAAAAACAACAAACAAACAAAAAAACAAACCAAAAACAACAAAAACCAAACAAACAAAAACACTCCAAAAAACAGAGAGAAAGAAAAACCCCAACTAAATAAATAAAATCAAAAGGACACATGCTCCAGTGCCAACAGTGCTCCAGCTGAGCAAAGTACTCTAGGTATAAAATGGCTGAATCAGAGGATTGCATATCTTTTTGTCTTCTGGATACTAAGAATGAGAGAAAGGGGTGGATACTTTTGCAAGGGCCACAAGGGCTGGTGTGATTCCCAAGGCATTAATCCAGGTGTGCAAGCCAGGGCTAATGAAGCAGACTCCTAGAGTCCTTGACAGTGGGCTGAGCAGAACCTTTTAGATAAGCATATTCCACATGTCTCAGGACAGGAGTGGTCCTTGAAGAATGACCTCAGAGCTACAGCCTTCAGTTTTTGCCCCAGAGAAGAAACTATCCAGTCGAGGTTACTAGGAATGGAGACTACAGAAAGTATGCTGCTGCAAGTATCCAAACAATAACTACCTGCACACTATATCCATTTTCAAGGGGAGTAAAGCTGGTGATAGCAGCAAGCTTTAGATTTAAAAGATGAGCTTTACATTTAAAAGACTAGGAGTACTCTCCAGATTTATCTCCCTCCACTAAGACATAGGAGGCATTCACATACATCATGTCACCCACATCCCATAGGAAACAGATGCAAAATCCAGCTCTCAGACAAGCTGTGATCCCAAGAGATCATCTTACTTACATAGAACACAAATCCAGAAGCCAGCAGGAAGAACCAACACCCTACAGACACTACTCAAATCTGCAGTTAGAGGAATGGGGGGGAAGTCTCAGAAAAGGTGAGGAAAATAGAAAGATACACACACAAACAATATATGAAAAAGACCTGACCAAGTTTAAAAAGCCTAAATGTGAAAGTAGCAATAGTACTCTCTCTCATGTGATACTCAAGAAAAAAACAAGGTTGTGGTCCCCTGTTTCTTATTCCGACGCTGAAATATGATGAAAAGGTGCCCAAGTACAGAGAACATCTATAGGACAAGAAGTACCTAAAGTACTCAGCTTACCCATTAGAATGTATAAATGTGTATATTACCACTCAAACATAATTAATGATTTGAAGTGATATCTCATCTGATATTTATTAGTATACTCACTCCTTTTGTAGCCAGGTCAATCTCTTACATTTTATCGCATTCAACAACACGTGCCAGCAATAGCGGGCACCTCTTGGGATTTTTTGTTTGTTTGGGGACATTAAACCAAGAGGACCCAAGAAAAGCAATAAAATTTCCTTGAACTTCTAGTAAGAAAATAAAATAGTTTTGAATAACAAAGCCTGTGAGCCTTAAATAACAATGCCTGAAGCCTGTGAAAACAAGAGTACCAAGACGACCATCAAACCTAACAGATGTTCTCTAAAATAATCTAGTTTGGATACTATTTATAGTTTTCAAGCACATATTAGTAATAGCAAACTTTTTGTTTAGGAGGGAAAGGAGGTGGTAAAGGTAAAAAAAATGTAATTTGCCAACACAAACCAATCTGCTGTTAAATAATAGAAAAAGTTCCACAGTTTAAAAAACAACAAAACAAAAAACCCATCCAAATCAGAACTTTTTTCCATGAAGAATCTCAAAATACTGAGAAATACTGTTTTCTCCACAAACTAGATAAAGTGTTGTATTTACCTTAACATGCCACTCAGGATGAGAATTCATATAATCAAAGAGCTTCTGATAATTCTGGTACTGCTGATCCCATTCTGAGCTCTCAGAATAGCGGAAATCATCCCCTAGCGGAGCCAACAAAACTTTAGTACGGAAAAGCTTTGACTTCTTTCTGTATTGATC